CCCCCACTTTTGTGTTCCGCTTTTGCCAAATTTAGTGAGCAACTGAGGTGAACAGCACTATTCATAGAATGGTTTCCTCCGTGTTCTGTTATTGTTAGAGAATTTCAGGATGGAATTGGCGTCGTTCCACTCGGTATCCAAGGGATATATGGGTGAATGTGGAATGAGAGGTGGTTACGTTGAGTTTTTCAACTTGGATCCTGAAGTATATGTGCTGTTCAAAAAGATGATATCCGCGAAATTGTGCTCCAGTATTCTTGGTCAAGTAAGTCATAAGCGAGCTTTTTTTATTGAAAAAAAGTGAAAGTTGGATTTTCAAGGTTATGATGGATGCTCTTGTAAATCCACCCAAGCCAGGAGAGCCATCGTATGATCTATGGTTGAAGGTTTGTGAAAATCACGAGAGTTCATACTTTTGTTTGTTCAATGGTTTTGTTTTCAGGAAAAGACTGCAGTTCTCAATTCACTGAAGGAAAGGGCTAAATTAGTGAAAGAGGCCTATGGAAGCATTGACGGTATTCTTTGCAATGAGGTCCAGGGAGCTATGTATGCTTTCCCACAATTACTGTTACCTCCTCGAGCTATTGAGAAAGCTAGGGTGAGTTCTCGACAGGATCGTTTTCTAGATGACTACTATTCACGGAAGGCGGGCAAGACAATCGCAATTTGCCAGGCCGTCACGCGCGGCGCATCGTGCGCGGTAAATTTGCAAGCGCATCAGTTTGTTGACTGAAGCTGCGAAACTCATGTGATTTGAAGCGGAGGCGGGGCTACATGCCGAGTGGTAGGGATCTTTCCCATCTCTTCAAATCCATTTTCAAATGATTGAGCAGGGCGACTGTTGTAGTTTGCATGCGCAATGGCGCTTGCCGCGCTTAGCGCAGCGATTGTCTTGTCACACCCGTAACTCACGGCTAAGTGATGAAATTCATGAATTTTTCTGTCAATGAAAGATCAGGTATGTCATCGTTAAGGGAGGTCATGTGATAAGGAGTTCACTAATGTAGTATTTGAACTGGGAGATTTTTTTTTCCTCTGATGGTCTCTGTATGGTCATTTCTTGAGGGTTTACTATGGGTAATTTGGTGTAAAGTGGTGTAATCATCATTATCTTGCTATATTGTTTGAACATTAAGCGATCGATTTCGATGTTATAGGATAGCAATGGTTTTGTAGAATTTGGGACTTGTACTATTTTAATCGCCCCTAGCAACTGGAGGGGGGCAGTGTGCAGAACTCTTTGCAAAAAGTTGGAACTACCATAACGAAGATGAGGGTTGTCTGAACCCTGAGTAGGGAGTGAGTTTTGGTGTGGGATATAATCAGTCTAGTTTTTAATTCTATCAATAACGAGCTAGTCCCAGTTTTTTTACAAAGAGGTCTTTAAATACCTCCTCCTCCAAATTTATCAGCACCTTGAATTCTATCGAGAAGGGAGATGTGCCAGAAGAGAGCAATTTTCACGTTGAATTTCGTTATTTTAAATCAGTGTTTGTCCCGTTTTGGAGACTTCTTTCGATTCTGCGATATTTTTCAATATTGTTTTTTATTTAGTCTCTGAATATGGAACCCGATTTCTTCTATGCGATGCAGTTGTTAGAAGCGACTGGTGTGTGCATTGTACCTGGTAGTGGATTTGGCCAAAAGGAAGGGACATACCACTTCCGGTATATCGATATTTTATTTTGATTTAGAAAAGTGTTCACTGCATATCCGCACATAGAATGGGCGTGGCTGTGCCCTGCTTTTGAAGGTAGCAGCAACTGCTCTTCGAAAGTGTAATAGATCCTTTTGGGATAGTTTAGTGCTCATCTCCTTGCCTGAGCATAAGACATGAACAGTGTCTCAAAAGGGTTTCGAAGCGTTATCTTTACGCGCGTGCACAACTAAGTTTCGTAAGCACGCCATTCATAGTGGCGGGATATGATGTATTTACAGTAATTATCGTTGAAGTCTGTCAGGCGTGTCAATCGAGACATATTCCTAGCAGGCCCATTGAAATTTGCCCGATAGTCGCTTGTTATCGTTGGAAACGGCTGGCCGCCTGCGTCAGAACCTGTTCCCAGCACTGACACCCGACTGGACTTGAGCTTTGTGATCTTTTTTATATTTAATTGATGATTATCATTTAAATTGTTATTTCAGAACAACAATTCTTCCCCAAACGGCTCTTGAATGAAAGATATGTTGGAGCGATTCAAGTCCTTCCATACAAAGTTCCTGGAGGAGTATAAGTAGAGATTGCTTTAGAACCTTGAATGTATCACATCTTTGAGTAACGAGTTTTTTCTAGTATCGTGTTAGGGTTAATGTGGCGCGTAGGTTTTTGTCCTCATTTTGAGATTTGACAGACTTGTATTTTAACGCTTTGCCCATTGTGTACCGTGTGACTTAATAGCTATGATTAAGGTGAAATTAATTGAGAATAATAATTTATTACGTCAGGTTTCCGGATTGTAATACTGTAACGGAATGAAATTACTATAACTTCATCTGATTTATCTATACTTCCTCCACTCCAGCTGCCTCCCATCTGTTGGGCAGCGTTCAGACTTCGCGATGACCCGCGCCGACGCTTTACTATTGCACAGCGTTCGCAGTAGCTATCGACGGGAAGCGATAGAACAGGCGATCGTGGCGCCGACAGCTAAGTTTCTGAGAGAAAGTATAGGAGAATAGGAGGCGCCGTTTGATCGAGCGGGGGACATTATTGTACTAATAGCATTAGCTTCAGCTAGTTCCGGTTTACAAATCTCACTCCTTGGTAAAGACCTTGTGAACTTGGTGAAGCTGGTGGGCAAGATGTCTAGCCATCAATCATAAAAGTGCTAACTCGAGAAAGGCTAGCCTACATGGATCGCACATCTTGTGGAAAGCAGAATGGCCCCCCTCGTCGACAAACTGCGCCGAATAGGAGGGTACGTGTTGTCTAGTCACTCGGTCTTGTACCCTCCTTTTTTCTGCACTCGTACAAAAAACCGGCACCCGGCGCCGATCGATGTCCGTCTGTCGCTGCGTTCTCTTCTATAGCGTTCGACCGCTATGTCAATAGTCGCGCGTCGAACACGTGTCATCGCTAAGTCTGAACGCTAGCTTGTGCCTGCCTTCGCTACTTTGAGTGTTGGGTGAGCCATGTTTGGGTTCAAAACACGCTCCGCACTTGAAGTTCGTGAGCTGTCAGATTCAAAATGTGAATCTGTTGGTGCTAACTGACTAGCAAGTGGAGAAAAGAGAGCCAAAAAGGGGAATCAGAGAGGCCGCAACTGATCTTCTTGGCAGCTGGACGGAATATTTTGAAAAAATGAAAGAAGTAAGAAGAAGCACCGGGCGTTAGAACAAAGAACCGAAAAGCTGAAGAACAAGCGTAATCGCGATCTGCTCCAGCAAATTCTTGTGTCCTTACCACGCTTTTTTTCAGTGATGAAAATCGTGGGAAAATTAGTAAATCCCCTGCGGCTGAAAGAAACTGCTATGAATAGGGAGAGGGGGTAAAGGGCCTGACGCTGCTAGGTAGTCCGCAGTTATGTGTTTTCAACTTTCTACTGATCTTTTTCTCTTGAGCCAAAAGGCATCAATGGTTGGATGATTGCGGGGCAACTTATGAAGTAACAAATACTGTCTAGATTCGGGGAATCACATTGATCGGTCAGTGGGTGGGGTGGGATTGGGGCGTGAGGAGCTGTGAATCCGCAGAGCCCTATTTGAGGCTGAGGGCAGCTCCGAAGGGCTTGGAACGGTTGCGCGAACGCAATCGAAAAGAAGTCCGTTACTCGCTGCTGGGGATGCGAAGACGTGTCGAAGGGGCTTCATGGGGCACGGCGCCAGTCCTTTTCGCAGGGTTGTGCGTTCAGAGCAGAGACCCTGAGTGTGGCAGTCTGAGAGGAGTCCCGTTCCACAAATGGTGGAGAGCGGGCTGGCGCCGCGATAAACCCTGCTTTCCCCGCGACGCGTCCCCACATCTGCAACGAACTATACTGAACTGGTGATCCGAAACCGCATACAACCGATCGGAACCCCTCCTTGTGCCCTGAGGCACTCGCATGTGAAAACTCTAGCGAGGGCGACTAACGATCGTTTTTGCCAAAGCACAACGGATTGCCCAACATGTCATGAGAATCTTTGGGCCGCACAAGAAATTACCCCTTTTTCGATAGTTATTGAGTGTCTCTAATTCATCCAACCAGTAATAGGCCACCCGTCGTTTCCTGGGATATTTTACTTGTAAAAGGACAAAAGTCCCGTGAAGAAACCAAGGACATCCAATGAAGGTTTCAGAAGTGCGATGCTCTGCTTGTTCAAAAAAAATTTTTTTTACTACTGCACATGCTTCCCATATCACACTATTTTGCTGAGAGATACATTTCGCGGTTATCGAGTAGGTGGGGAAAGGGCGGAGACACATAACAACTGCGTCCACGCCATTGGTGCGATCCTATTTTTACCGTATCGGAAGGATGAGCGCATCAATGAGGACGGCACAATGGATAAGATTGCCTGCCAATCCGGCGATATGTTCGGGATTGGTGATTGCATGTAACCATTGTTGGTTACCACTTCCTAGAAGAGATCAAATAAGAATGTATTTGCACATGTCTGATAACACCAGTGATCCTTGTGGATAACATGCAGGTGCTATAAAAGCGTGATTAGCGCGGTAGGACTCATTTTGGTGCTTTGGACTAACCGCGGTAACAAGTCGAACCCTGACGCCATGATCGAGCTCGTGCTCTTTGGAGTGTTCGTTCTTGTCACGCAAGCGATCCTGCTCTGTGGAAGAAAGAAGGCCGGTGCAGAAGCTGGAGCTGAATCAGCGGAACCGGTCTGAAGCAGTGGCTAATGATGGCTGATGGAGAAAGGGAAAGACGGCGTGTGAGTATTGCCGAACTCAACACCTGGCAAAAGAAAGTGAAGGGGAGGCTTTGACAGGCACGTCTGAGGAATACGCATCCAGATGACGCTCTTAGGGTAACGATGATTCTACGGTAATACTTTCGACCAGATTACTACCCACGACGCAGACACGAGCATTCTGGTCCCCTTTTGAATAAGGGTCCGCACTACCTATGTTGAAATAGAATGAGCTTTCCGCTCAGAGCATCGGGGAGGGGTAGAGCTGCTGACAGCCGGGAGGGAGATAAGCTTTGTAAGGATGCGCTTGGGTAGCGTTCACTTGAAGCCCACTGGGAGAAGTTGACTTCTCTGGATCACAGCTCCCATCCTGTTGAGCTCTGAGCAGCACCCATGAGGAATGTAAGATGGTTATCTTCTCTGCCCTTACGCGGAATATGCTTAAACTAACCCTCAGTGGTTCAGAGTCTTGACGGCTCGGCCTTTCTTTTTAACGGTAAAGACGCTCATGAGAATCTGTAAAGCCAATGCGCTGGATAGTTCCTTGCTCAAGAGGCTTCATGGAGGCCCAACGCCCTTCAAAATGAACTATAAGTGTAAGCAGAAGAGATAAGGATCGGTATCATAACTGCTACAACCGCGATAATGATCGGTGGTGGGTGCTATCGCTGTTCGTGGTAGTAACGGGTGCAAGGACTAGGGGAACTCGTCCACAACGTGTCATGACACATTCATAGAACATGTTCTAAGCATCTGCGGCGATGCGATAGGTTGGCCAGATGACAATGCCAGAGGGGCAGCGGTTTGTTAACATCTAAGGAAAGGAAAAAGCAAAACCCCCGACATCCGTATAACCATTGCTACCGCGAAATGCGATAGCATCCGGTGAAGTGATAAGCGATCACAGTTCATATCGCTACAATCCAGGGAAGCCATGGTGTATGTGGCAAGACAATCGTAATCGCCGCGTTGGTGTGGTCGCGTGCGATGTCGACGTCCGCGCTGCGAGCAGAACGAGTTAGTCTACTGGCCTTTGAGAGTGTTTGAATGTATGGGGCCGGACAACGGCCACGTTATATTAGCCTCGAGCTCGGTCTCTCGCAAGGCATATTTCTCGCGTGATGGCGGATGAACTGTGACAATACGGCAAGAGTGACTATTGTGGCTCAGCCCTTTAATGGTACCCCCTCTAGAATAGTAAAGGGAAGGCATGACTGCTCTAAAGGCCCTCGCGCAATTTCGGTCGGCCTGAATCTGTGTGCTCGAGAGTTCTTGTGCGAGCAATTCAAAAGATAGGCTGCGTTTATACTTTGCGGCAGCGTAGCGCTTCCAGCGTACGCCAGCGGCAGTGCCGAAGAGAGGATGCATATCGATCTAGCTTCACCAGCGTCACCAGCGGCACGCTAGCGCACGCTGGCGTAGCGAGGGCACGGGAAGCATAGCTATCGATCTAGCTTCACCAGCGTTTCTCGAGCGTTTCTCCAGCGGCACCAGCGTTTTGCTAGCGCTTGCAGCGGCAGGGAGTAGAGACTATGTGGCCGTGAGAGACGCGGAATCGACGTGTATTGTAGAGACCATGTGGCCGTCGGAGACGCAGAAGCGATGTGCATTGTAGAGACTATGTGGCGTCGAGACGCAGAAGCGATGTGCATTGTAGAGACTAAGGGCGAGTGAGAGACGCGCAATCGATGTGTTTTGTACCCTCCAGCTCTCCCATAGTCTCTACTCCCCTGCCGCTGCAAACGCTAGCAAAACGCTGGTGAAACGCTGGAGAAACGCTGGCGTACGCTAGCGTGCCGCTGGTGACGCTGGTGAAGCTAGATCGATATGCATCCTCTCTTCGGCACTGCCGCTGGCGTACGCTGGAAGCGCTACGCTACGCTACGCTACGCTACAGCTGCGCGCAAGATAAAACGCAGCCATGATCGCGCCGTAGGAAATCGAAAGGGATTTACAACGATCCACAGAAGATACCTTCATATTCGCATGATGGGTGATGGGTGGGGGGTGGCGGCCGCATACTTCATTCAAGGTGTTGAAGCGAGCGATTTCCTGGCACTCGCGTGAACTATCAGGACGTTTATATAAGGTTCTAACTGAAGAAGTCTGCACTCGCAGACAGAGAGAATGGTATGTGTCAAGACAATCGTGATTCGCCGCGCTGGTGGCCAACGATGTCGCATGCTGCATACTGCAAGTGGGCAGGTTCGCAGCCGCGTAAACGATATTTTACGTTCAGTTACGGCCCGGTGATACAGATATCCGATAACTGTCGCTGTCAGAATGCACGTCAACTGCCGCACACATTTTGTCCGATTTACGAGCCGACGC